GTGTGTGTGTGTGTGTGTGTGTGTGTGTGTGTGTGTGTGTGTGTGTTCAATACCCCCTGTTAAGATTGGTGTTTATCTGTTCATCAGTGTGATTAATTAAAATCAGTTAAATGTGAACCTTCGTGCTCTTTATTCAGAAAATCCACACGTCGCATTTACATTTCAGGATCTGGTTTTTATAGACACATATTAAATGTTAAATATGAATATTTCTATATTTATCATCACATTAATAGTGTTACACACGTTAGTAGTTGTAAACACTTAAAATAATATATATGTTGGTTTGGTGCTTACCATAACTTAAACATTTAATGAGTAAACATTTTTAATAATCACATGAAAAGTTACAAATGTTCTCTTTGGTGTCTTTTTGTTTTCCTGATATATTAATGTGTGTGAATGACAGGGATTAACTTAAAGCATTTTGTAGAACGGTGTTTTATGAAGTTCTGCCGTTTCCTTCTATTAGTTGACCGGCAGTTTTGTCACATTCAATATGGCGGATGACTGCTGCAATGGGCCAGCCCAGTCAACGAGGCATCTACTTATTTATTTCCATTCTGTCCATCACCGCTACAAACAAGAAGGGGCCTGCACTTGAACCTGTCCCTTCTACTGCACATCTCACCACTGTTTCTCAAAATACCCTCACACCAGACTTTATACAGTACCACACTTCCTCTGTCAGCCCTCTAATTTCCTCTTGCTCATTACTAAAAAGGATTATATTTGTTTTTGAGTTATTTAAAACTTAATATTAATAATTTTGAAGCTGCTGGTTTCCCTGTCAAAGGATGTGAGCATGCTGTATAATAATGACTAAATGAAATTACGGTACTATTAACTCATGACTGATAGACAGAACAGCAAAATAAGATAAACTTGATAACTGAAATAAATTTATTCTAAGGATTCATCATCTGCATGACACCTCAAGCCACTGGGTGGTACCAGTTGTCCACTCTTTTGTTCAAACTTCTGTCCATATTAATAAACGTTTTAGATATAATGTATGAAATTGTTGATCAGCAGTGCTTTGAAATATAATTTTATCAGATAATATATTAACTTGATGAAACATCCGGTTATATGTGTCCCGTTTTGTTATTTAGAATGATATTGTGTTAAAACATAATCTGATTCCATTTCCGGTAGAAAATGTAGTTTTAGTTACATTCCTACAACTCCCAGACATTCACACACCCACCCATTATAGAACACAATATGGCGAGATATTATTGGTTGAGAGCTGGGTCACATGATCAATCAACCTTTATTTAGACAGATAAATCCCATTAAGCCTCGAGGACTCATTTACAAGAGAGACCTGATTTCAACAAAGAAAGATGACAACAATGGACAACAGCAACAATAATAAACAGTTATAAAAAGTCATACTGCAGGGTTTTTTTTTTTTTTTTAAACAAATAGGAAAAGGTAACAAAAAAACAAAAAACAAAAAACAAAAAAACAGCTAGATTCCAAGACAAATGTAGAAAACTAAAAACAGGAACATGTCTGCATTGGACCCTGCCAGGTGTCCAACATGTCCAACATGATAGAGTAGGGCTTCCCATTCGTTGATGCTGGTGACAACTCCAGGAGGTGTGGCCAAGCTCTGGAGAAGATGGGTTTTCTGTTGACATTAGGCACCATTGTTCATGACCTCATGGTGGAGTTACAATGGCCCAGGGCTGGTGATCTTGTACTTTACACGTGGGTAAAATAAACCTGAAAATGGAAGACAAGTGCTCATCCTCTCCCTGCTTCAGAACAGAACAAAATCTTACAACTTTTACATAATTGTTTGCTTGAAAGACCTTAATATTTTATCACAAATTCAATGTGTTTTCTTATTTAACAAAGGAAAGTTAAAACAAGGCATTTTCTTGTCCAGGCCATAACTTTAATAATACTTAATACAAATATGCATCATCACTAGATTGTGTGTTGCATGCACTTTTTATTCATCACACCAGCTCCATGATCAAAGTTAAAACAATGTATTTACTTGTTCTGCCCAGAACGTCTGATCCACTCAAGATCATTTACAACTTGATACAACCATGTGTCATCACTGAATGAAATGTCATGAGCAAAATTTTTAGAATGTATTTTTTGGTTTTAATCATTCAAAAAAAATTTTTCAAACCCAGTGGTCCAAGAAAGTTTATGCAGATATTTTCAGAATCAGAATAAACTTTATTGGCATTGCACCGAGATACAACAAAAATATGTACGTACAGTCGTCCGAAAGATGGGCGGAGTACACGACATTATACATGTACATATAGGCCAGTGAAGACATTGAATTTTTAAGGGAAAGTTGTAGCATAGTCCAGAGCCCCCCCTCTCAGCCATTGTCCAGATAAGAGGTGTGTGGGGGGGGGAGAGAGACAGGGAGACATGTCTGGTTCCACCAGAGGACCGAGAGAAAAAAGAAATAAAAAAATCATCCAAAAATAAAAAAATAATTTTTTTGCGTGAAGAGCTGATGTCATACAATGAGTAACCAATCCAGAGTCACAATTTCTGAAAACAATTGATGCTCAAAATTAATTTCAATTCAACCTTTATTTCTACAGGTTAGTCTCACTGAATCACGAGGACTCATTTTCAACAAAGACCCATTTTAGACAGACAACATAGAGTACAGACAATAATATAAAACAAAAAAGCAATTAAAATAAAAATTATAATGATCACATCACAGTGCCATATTAAACAAGGTAAAATACTTAAAAGAAGAACATATTTACTTAGATTTTTCTATGGACCTTATCAACTGTTTAAAATTATTTAAAGAAATCAAAGTAGACAGCTTCAGATCTTGTTGCAAGGTGTTCCAGGTTAAAGGAGCTGAGTAATGTTGCGTTTAGGTAGCTGACTGCGGGTCGTTAGTCACTGCAGTTAGCTACGGCTAGCTGTGGGCCTCAGGCTTCCTCTCTGACCCTGGACCCTCAGCCAGCCCCCACTGCTTCCTCTGGTTCTATCTCTCTCAGAAGTGGCAACTCATACGATCAATAAATCAATGAAACATCAATTAAGTTTTATCAATTATATTAAAAAGCAGGAGAAGATTACAGTTTTACAACGCTGGACTCTCCGGACTGTCACGCGTACACAGACCCGGAAGAGTCCTGAAATCTCGTGTCATCACTAACTTATGGGGTCCTATGACTCCTTTCGCAGAAGGGGAGCTCAGCCTATCAGTGTATGAGGGGGCGTGTCTAAGTGTGGTCTTATGTGGACTGACGTGTTAGGAAAAATACGAGACGGTGCTTCAAAGCCTTTCTACGTGATGTGGCAAGCAGATCAAACTCTATTCCGTGACAGATGTTGAATCATCAGTGAGACACTCTTAAGAGTTCGCTGGCCCAGTTTAACCCAGTCAGAACCGGGTCATAATTTCATTATAATCCCGTCTCTGAGCAGATCAAAACCATAAAACCAGTCTAGATTAAAAATATTTTAACAGTAAGAAAAGGTATTTTGGCCGAGTTCAGTCCACACTGAGGGGACACTGCAGGTAATGATGGCCTGTGAGTGCACACTGTAACTGTACTGACAATGTGACATGTGGGAGGAGATATAAGAAGGTAGCAGACCAAGGAGGGATTTATAGATGAAAATGAACCAGTGTGAGAGCCTGCGTGTAAATAATGATGACCAACTGACCAAGGAGTACAGATTGCAGCAATGGGTACTGTAGTTACAATCAGTTATGAAACTTAGAGTGCCATGATAGACAACATCCAACATCTGCAAGCAGCTGGCAGGGGCATTCATGTAAATAATGTCACCGTAGTCAATGACTGGTAGGAAGGTAGCAGTTAAAAGATGTTTTCTGGCATTCAGAGTTAAGCAAGATCTATTTCTGAAAAAGAAATCCAGTTTTATTTTCAGTTTCTTTATTAAGTTTTCAATATGTGGCTTAAAAGATGTGCATCAATTAAAATTCCCAAGTATTTGTTAGAATCCACAAACTAGGAACACCAAGCATGGATGAGATAGAAGGAAGAACTGTTGGCAGCAACTTTTTGTTGGAAAACAACATCCCCTTGTTTTTTTTTATCAGCATTTAGCATCAGTTAGAGATGGAACAAGTCTGACTGAATGATGTTAAATGCAGACTGTAGCTGGAAAGCATTGGCAACTGTGTTAGCTCGGCAATAAACAATAGTATCATCAGCATAGAGATGCAAGGAGGCATCAGGAATGTTTTCACCTACGTTACTTGTATAAATTGTAAAAAGAGTGTGTCCTAAAACTGAGCCTTGTGGCACACCATTAATGACCGTTAAATAGCTAGACGAAGTACCATTGTGTCCAACACATTGCCTCATACTCATGGTTCATATTTCATTAAGGTAATCAGGTCATTGCTGTAGATTACTGTGTTACTGTACAATAGTTTGTTGATGGGTGTATGATGTATGCAGTTCTTTTGTTCATAACGGTGTAGTGTCAAGTGACTTGAGTCCTCCTCTACCTTCCAAGCCCATCTCCTGACCCTGGATATGTACAGATCTATCGTCAGCTGTTGCAGTTTGACCTGTGAGCAAACTGTAAAGGGTCCGGCTCATGATCAGTGTTGGTTCGGAGAACGGATACAATCTGTTTTTCAAAACAGTTGTGTTTGCAACAGCCATTTCTGTCCACTCCCATGCTTTCATATAGGGATGCACCGATCCACTTTTTTTACTTCCGATCCGATCCCGATACCTAAGTCTGAATATCGGCCGATACCGATCCAGTTCCGATATCATGATCATCATATGAGGCTGTAATAATCTCCTCTCAAGTACAATTTGTACAAATATATGCATACATGTCCAAAAAGGCAACTTGAGGTAAGTTCTATTAATGTTGGATAAGTTTTAAAGTTAGAATTAAATTCTAACACAAAACATGTTTTTTAATTCCTAGCTTTAAAGTGGATATTAAAGTGATTAATTTAAGTGATTGTTTAAAGTTATTTTATTTTTATTTTTTAAATAAGGGATGGATATAAGAATTTTTTTTCTTCTTTCTGCACTCTTTTCATTCATTGTTTTCTTTTTGACGATTTTTTTATTGTTTCTTTTAAATGAATGAATAAATGAATTAAATAAAATGTTAAATGGCTTCAAACATCTGCTAAGTTCATGACATAAACCAACAGACATGTTCCTGTTTTTAGTATTTTACATCACTTTATAATGTAGCTGTTTTTGTTTTTAAAATATTTTAATTTTCAAATCGTGTTTTTTATGATTGTCTACTGTTGTACTGATAAACATCTCCTGGAGGGTAAACTATATCTTGACTGCAAATATCAAGCTGTGAAATCCTTCGTTTTCTACAACTGATAGTGGTTGGACATGAATCATGATGAAGTTTAACAACTTCTCTGTAAACATTTGAGCTCCGTGGTTTCAGCGATGTCTTCTTCTTGTTCAATCCGAAGCAAGCAGCCTGATTTGGGGCAGCCACACTCAGTCTGTCCCTCCTCAGAGACGAGCAGACTGAGTGGAGCAGATTGGACGCGGCTGGCCGAGGTCGAGTCGCCTCTTTCGGATTCAGCAAGAGTAGCGCCCCGCTGAAGCCACAGAGCTCGAATGTTCATCGTAAAACTAACTTTACCGCGGTTTAATGTGGCGCAATGGCTCTGCAGACATTGCACGTTGCTGCATTGCTTTGTGGTGTTTTTAGTGTAAAATACTTCCACACAGCGGACATGTTTAGATGAAAAGTTTGTTAGCTGTTAGCCACAGTGCTGCTAACTCAGCCCTCACGTTGTAGCTGGCTGCAAACTATGAACTGGATTTCCTGAATGTGAGGTGGGTCTTATTACTCTGAGTTCATGAGACACGCCGCCATTCAGGAAATCCATTCCATAGTTTGAAGTCAACATACATCATGGATCGGAAATATCGGCAGGAGGATCGGAAAATCCGATACGTTAATTATGCTGGTATCGGAGGCCGATACTTGATCGTATCGGCCGATACCGATACTGGATCGGATCGGCCCCATCCCTACTTTCATATTTCTGTCAACACCAGCTACCAATGCACAGAGAAGCAGAAAATGCAGTTTTGCACTGGAGAGAATTTATTATTTTTTTAAATAAATAAACTTATAATGTAATAATGTAAAATGTTATTTTTTTATACAATAGTTTCTCACCAGCAGTTAGCTTTGTTTTTTACTTCTGAATTCAGTGTCCATTCTGAATCAATTGCAGAGCTGCTGAATGAGATCCAGAAGCTTCATAAAACCTTTCTGTCAGATGAGAAGAAGGTGAGAAGCTCCACCAAAGCTGTAGAAGACTCCATGGACACCAGACAGAAAGTCAAACACAAACTGGACACGTGCAAATGCAGCGGAAATTTGGCAATGCTGAAAAAGAAGGTCAAAAAGCTCAGTGTGGTCAAACTCAACCAAAAGGTGAGAAAATATTCTGAATTGTCTCTTTGGCCTTGATCAGAATTTTAATGTCAGGAAGATGCAGAGTGACTAAGAGGTCATCAAGTGACTGAATATTTATCAGTGATGGAACCCCTTTATAACAGCTTCTGCTTGTGGAGGTTCAACAACACAACATGAGCACAACCACACAGTGTGAAAGGGGCACTGCAAGGTGCACAGTGTCTGCTACAGCATGCACCTCAGTGCGCACCATTATATCCACAACTTTACAACACAGTTAGTAAGGCTGAAAAAAAACTCAACTAGTTAAGTAATTAATGTTTTAGACAAGTAGACAAGTTTAAATATTTGGTTTCAGAAAACCATTATAGATTTTCAGGGAAGTATTGAAAACCAGTTAGACAATCTTACCAGTAAAAGCTGCCCATTTGGATATGTATGCAATGATTTTAGTCAAACTGCCTAGTCCAGAAACTGTTTGGGACCAAACTACTTGATTGGCTTTAAAATTTGGGATATAGTTGAACAAACAAGTTCTATCATGATTTACACTGTTTTCATCCCTAGTAGACAATCTGACAGCGAGAGATGTAAATGGTCACTGTACTTTTCCTGCTTTTTTTGCTCTCTGTCTGTGCATCGGAGCTCCTACTTTTACACATCTTCCGAAATGAAAAGTACTGTTATGAATCTGACCAACTGGACTTTTGACGCAAATGACAAACTCTCTTCAACAAAGCGACAGGGTCCTGGAGAACCCTTATGTCTGCTCGGATGACACATGCAGGTGGATGTATCTCTGGGGAGTGGAATGTGATATGCCTATCTCTGCTGTCGATCAAGGACCCCAAAATTGCATATAATTGGATTTATGATAACAGGTTTCCTGTTTTTGGAATAGTCTGGTTACTGGTTTATCAACATACAAAGAAGACAGCCGCAGCTAATTTGGCTTTCGTCAGGCTGCTGCCTATGTGAAGGTTGGTCCGTGCTTTGAGGACTCAAAATCAGCTGATTTACGAGCTAAACCGTAAGATGGAAGTGATTTGAATCGCAGGCCACCTGCAGCTTTGGGACTCGTCAGCACGAAATGACCTTGAAGAGGCTCGTAAGCACAAACCAGTAGAATGCACCCTAATCTGGCCATTTCGGATATTGGAAGTACCAGTAAGACTTAAGGCTGACAAGAAAAATTGTCTGCCTGAATAAATCAACAATTGTGGCTTATCTGAATCCCCGGTTGGCCTCGAAACAGGCCGACTTATCAATATCTCCTGGGAAATGTGTAAACTAAGGAAAAGCTTCATCTATTGCAACCTCCCCCACCCCCCAACCACCACACACACACACACACACACACACTTCTGTGAAGGCTTATCAGAACTGTGCTGGCTGACCATCATCTTATCAGGACAATGGACTATTTGTTAGTGCTTCATGGACCGCCTCATCATCAAATACATATGTAACATGTTCATAAATATGCTGGCAGAGTTTTTTTAATGTCTTAAATCGTGTCCTGTGTAGTGAACTAAGCCTCAGGTCAAATCCTGACCTTGAGGGCCTTCCTGGGACAAGAACTGTATTTCATTGATTTGAGTCCAGAAACACAAAATCAAGTCCATCCAGAGACGTTCTAAGTGTGTCCTGCACTGATCAATTGAAAGAACACTCTCTTTTTTATTATCATTACTATCTTACAAATGTCTTGATAATCAAAGTGTGTTTAGTTCAAACCATTTTTAAATATTGAAGTGAACTACTCATTTTAAATCAACTGTGAAACAGTATTAATGATTTTTTAATCCTCATTCAAAGTAGAAATCAAGTTAGAATGTGTTACAGAGTAATTATTCATTTTCTTGATCTTCTGTCTGAAATGAGCAAGTTGTGATGTCGGTCAAATGTCGGAGACAAACGCAAACAAGTTTGTTGGAACGAACTGTCATGTTTTAAAATCCTCTCAGACATAAATAGAGAAGCTGGCACCTGTTTCCTCCCAACTCGCCTAAACATTTCTCTTGTCTGTCTCAAAAACATTTTCTGTCTGTTCCAAAACATTCTTTCTGTTTTTCTGACTTCTAGTGACCTCTTACGTCACAAAAACACACCCCTGATTAGCGCTTTCAGCCAATCAGGAAGTTCCCAAATGAACCGGAAACAGAACTCTTTAAAATGTTCAACACTTCCTAGTTCCAGTAGAGTGCGGTGGGAGAGCAGTTCAGTTCGGAGAGCAGAACCGAACAGAAAAAGTGCTGGAGAGAACAGGAGGTTCCAGACATGATCCGAAGTTCTTCCGAGTCTTGTGGGAATTATGGAATCCTCCACATCTGAGTGGAACTCTGACGGACTCACAACTCATGTGAGCCCACCCATGAGGTGAACGTGTGCTGCACTAAGTACCGTCACTACTCCGGACGTTTCCCAACCATCCTACGGAGACGTTGGAAATGGTAGCGTTAAATGGAACTCCGTACCAGCTGATTCATCTTCAGAGAGGTAACGAGTCGATTTCCTACCGAAGCATACCGGGGCGAAACTGGGTTCGGATGGAGAGTGCCGTTCTTATACCGACACATTTTCCCTCACACACATTTTCTCTCCACTTAACTCCTTCATTCCTCTCTTTAAACTCTTCTATCTTGCCAGTAATTAATCCAGATATTTTCAGAAATGTCTGATGGTTTAAAGTTGCAAGGGAAATCATGGCCGTATGGTTTCCTAATTGTAAAGCTTGCTAACTAAGCTATGTTGTTGTTGAAATCAATTTGCCAAATTAATGTAAATGTGTGATGTTAAACTTTGATTCTGTTAATAAATGACCGCATTCATTTGATGGGTCAAAGAAAATTAACGTCTCACGTCACATTTAATTTCAATGCACGGTATTATTCAGTCCAGAAAAATGAATGAATCCGTTTAATTTATGAATATATCACAGATATATGTTCATCTACACCTGTTAGGAAAGGTGTGAAGAGATTTATTTATTTGTTGGTGATGCCACTATCCTTTCTTCATGGCTTTGTCCCTTTTTCTATCTAAAAAATGTATTCTGTAAAGGATAAGAAGGCCGCACTATCATAGCAGCAGCTATGTGCACTCCCATCTTTTGGACGACTGTATTATTCTCGTTGTATCTCAGTACAATGATAATTAAGATTATTCAAATTCTGATTCTGCTATGACACCTTTCTATATTATCAAGATACGCAAAGCTCTTTACAACACAATCTGTGCCCTTATTTGCCCATTCATACAGCACTCTACTATATCAAAGTTCATGCCCAATCATCCAGGTACAAAATCCAATGATATTCAGTCAGGTCATCTGGACAGTTTCTTTTTTGTGAAAGACGTTTCTCCCTCTATCTGGAGGTCTTCATCAGTCTGAGGAGTCCCAAGTAAACTGTTTTCCCCACTAAGCAGTACACTCCTTTAGTGGACCAACCAGTTTGCTGGTGATAAGATGGTTTCTGGGTGCTGTCCTGTCCCCCATTGACTCCTCCTAGGCAGGCAGCCACAGCCAAAGTGTTTCAAGACATCAAAGGTCAATGAACTTTGATGTCTTGAACCACTTTGGCTGTGGATGATATTCAGGATGAATCTTTGGAGAAGCGGTTTGGAAGGTAAGTTTCTTATGAACAGATGTTTGATGATCCTTAGGATCCAAAGTGAATCCTAACTTTGTCATAGTTGTACTCGAGGAAAGGAAGGATTTCAAGCAGGCATTGGTGCAGGAGGAGATGAGGTGAGTATTGGTTTGCAGGAGAGCGGCAGGATGGAAACTCATGAACTAACCCAGTTTAAAGACGAGGCACTAAGGTAAGTAGTTCTGGGCCGTAGATCTCACAGGAATGTAACAGGAGGGGCCTGAGGAAACAGGACTTCCACAGGTATGTAACTCAGGATTGGAGAAAACACAAGGAGCACAGGTTAGTAGCTTCTTATCAGAGATAAGGATCACAGAGGGCTGTCTTGTTACCCAAAGGTCTTAAATGTTCTAGCGGAGATCTACTGAGCCACAGGTCCTTAAATACAGTGGGCCTCGTCAGACTGGATCAGGAACAGGTGTGGGAGGTAAGCTCCGCCCTGCCACTCAGGAGCAGTAAGTCCTGTGGCAGGAAAACACAGAATCTCCATACTGACAAATTTTAGATGAAAAGTCACTAAAGTTACTCATCTACAGGAGGGGTACAATTCTTTTTTGTTTTGGGTTTTCTTTTACTGTCGATTAAACAATCTTTATATGTCCTCTAAGCAGTGTGTTGTGGTTTGATGCAGATCTGTGGAGGACCAGATCTGGACGACTGCTCAGAATGTCATAAAGGAACATTCTGTGATGGAGTAGTTCCTGTAGCCCAGAAAGCATCTGAGACGGCAAAGAAAGTAAAAGAGCAACTTGTCAAGCTCCCGTCAGAACTGCAGGAGTCCAAGAATAAGGCAGGTTTACACACAAACACTGGGAAGGGTTTTCTCCTCCAACAGTTCCAGTTCTGGTTCAAGACTGAAACCTCTCAGCTCTAGTGGTTCTATTTAAAAAGCACCTAAGAACTGGACTGGATTCAGACAAACACATTAAATGTATCCTTTAAAAATAATTGACCTATTGATTTGATTCCCATAAATTCAAGAGCCTTGCTATCTCTGAAAACACACATCACCAGGCTCATTTAGAAACACTGTTTGTGTTTGTCAACACTTTTCAATTTCAACAATTTCATTTACATTTTTTAGTTGTTAATGTGTATACATAAAATCAGGTAACACATCCCAAACAGATTAATATTTCTGATATTTCAAATCTAGTCTTTTAGTCTTTTACGTCAGTTTTATTAACTTTTAGTAAGTTTTTTTTTTTTTTTTTCTGGAAGATCCCGTCTGCAGGAGTTGCCAGCGCAACTGAACTCTCATGAAGGATTTTTTTTTAACGCCAGATGGCCCTGATTCCTGATGCAACCTGGCCTTGATCCGGTAGCCCCAGGATTACAAAGCTGCAGTACTTAACCACTAATCTACCAAGTAATTCTAAATTAGTTTTACTCATATTTTACTTTGTGAGAGCTAAATGTCCTCAACATGCAATGATGCAGAGCACAGCTGAAACATGACAAGATAACTTTTAGCTACAGTTCTGGTAAGTTTAGCTACTAGTTTGGTGGTCTTAGCTTTTAGGTTACCTTTTTGTAATTTTAGCATTTAGCTGCTTTTCTGATCATTTTTGCTTTTCACTACTAGTTTACAGGTTTTACCTTTAGTTGCTGGTTAGCTAGCTTTTTTGCTAACTTTAGCTTTTGTTCTGTATGTTTTACCTTTTTCACACAGTTTAAGTGTCTTCATTAAATTTCTGCAGTCAGCTCTCAGCACTCGCATTGACTTTCACAGATAATACTTATTTTCTGATCATTATTAATATTTTTTCTTCTTTCGGCTGCTCCCTTTTTCAGGAGTCGCCACAGAGAACTAACTCGCAGGAAGACTTGGCGATTATTTTTACGCTGAATGTCCTTCCTGATGCAACCACAGACCACCGAGCTACCACAGCCCTCTGTGTGGAGCAGAGAGCCTCTATCTAGGGCGCTCGGGGGAGCAGATGGTGGGGGTTAAGGGCCTTGCTCAAGGGCCCAGAGTGGGACAGATGAGGGAGGAGGCAGGTGTGGGTGTTTCACCTTTCCCACCCACATTTTTTGATGTTGTCGGTCTGGGGAGTTGAACTGGCGACTTTCCGATCACCGGCCCACCTTCTCTAACCTCTGAGCCACCACTCCCCTTAATTATATTTTGCAATAATATTGAAGCTTAAACCTTTAATCTTTACTGTCCTAAATAAAACAAACTGAACTAACTCAGAATCACTCACAACGTTTTTGTCATTTGTTCTTCTCAACTCCACCTCCAGTCCAGATAAAAGTAGTTCTGGGCTATGGCCCAGAACAGACCTGCCGTACTTCTAGCTCTTAAAGCCAGAACTTTGGTAATCCATACAGAGCTCAATTCAATTCATTTCAGTTTATTTATATAGTGCCAAATCACAACAAAATTGTCTCAGAGCACTTTACAGAAACATTCACATACATAAAAACCAATTAGTAAAGTTCTCTATCTAAGGAGGCCAGCAGAAAAGTTGAATCTTGGCTTCGTTGCAATCTCCCATCCTGAGCAAGCACAGTGGCAACAGTGGAAATAAAAACTCCCTTTAAAAAGGAAGAAACCTCCAGCAGAACCAGGCTCAGGACAAGTGGCCATCTGCTTTGACCGACTGGTTTGAGAGGACAGGAAGGAGAGACAGACGAACACAGAATGGTAGGTCCAGGTGTACCTGAAAGACAAAAACACGTTAAGAATAGAAAAAAATAATTATAAATAAAAAACAGGTTGAGCAGAGTACGTAAAGACAGTAGCAGAGTGAAAAGTGTGGTCAGTTTGTCCTCCAGCAGTCTAAGCCTATAGCAGCATAACTAAGGGACAGCTCAGGAAACCCAAGATGACCCTAACTATAGGATTTATCAAAAAGGAAAGTCTTAAGCCTAGTTTTACAACTGGATAATGTGTCAGCCTCATGGACAGAGATTGGAAGTTGGTTCCACAAGAGAGGAGCCTGATAACTGAAAGATCTGCCTCCCATTCTGTTTTTGTAAATTCTAGGAACCATAAGTAAACCTGCAGTCTGAGAGCAAAGTGCTCTGTTAGGAAAATATGGAACAATAAGATCTGTAATATAAGATGGAGCCAGGTTGTTGAGAGCTTTGTAAGTTAGAAGTAAGATTTTGAATTCTATTCTGGATTTGACAGGGAGCCATTGGAGAGAAGCCAAAACTGGAGAGATACAGTATGATCTCTCCTACTAATTCCAGTTAAGACTCTGGCAGCAGCATTTTGGATTACCTGAAGACATTTTAAAGAAGTATTTGGACACCCAGATAATAAACCATTGCAATAGTCCAGTCTAGATGTGACAAATGCATGGACCAGTTTTTCTGCATCATTTGAGATTAAGATGTTTCTAATTTTAGTGATATTACACAGGTGGAAGAAGGCAGTTGTAGATGAACAGATGCTGGGATGTATTCATCATTTAACGCGAGTTCCTCATTTTTCTGGACTGAATAAAACGTGCACTGAATTTAAGGAAATGCAAAGTGAGACGTCATTTAAATTTGACCCATCAAAATGAATGCGGTCATTTATTTACAGAATCAAATTTAACATCAAACATTTACATTAATTTGGCAAATTATGAAAATAACAACAAAGCAATCAATCAGGAAAATCATACGGCCATGATTTTTCCGTTGCTGCACCAACAGACATTTATAACTGTACAACTATGATCTTTTACCCACATGAATGTGGGTAAGCACTTTACACAGACATTTCTAAATATCTGGGAGAATTTCTACTTGATAGAAAAGTTTAAGATGAAAGATGAAGTTTAAAGGGGAGAAAGATGGTGTTTGAGGTAGAGTGTTGAACAGAACGGCACTCTCCGGGCTTTCTTCAGCTTTTCCTCACAGTACACTTAGGTGGTGAAAACGACTCTTTTACCTGGAGATGTCTCAGGCGAGATTCCGTTTAACGCACCCTTTCAGCGTCTCCGTAGGATGCTGTTACTCGTCCGGAGTAGCTGCGAGGTTCTGTCAGCCACAGCTCACCTCAGTGGAAAATGTTATAATCCCATGGAACTCGGAAGAGCTTCGTTGTCATGTCAGGAACTCCAACAGCACTCCATCAGAACTCCAGAACTCTAGAAGTCTGACAACTCTCCAACTCTGAGTACCTGTGTGTCTCTCCGTGTCCCTGTGAGTCTCTGTAGAGTCTGTGTAGACCAGGAAGTACTGACATTTTAAAGGCTCTTTCCCGGTTCACTTTTTGGGATTTTTTATTGGTCAGAAACGACCAGAAGGGGTGTGTTTTTGTGACGTAAGAGGTTAGAGACAGCGAGAATTGTTATGAGACAGTTCAGAAATGTTCTCACAGACCGAGAGGGTTCTGTTTTGGCGTGCCTTAAGACACAGGTGCAAAACATCTCTATTTACGTCTGAGAGGATTCTAAAACATGACAGTTTTAACATAACAACTTGTTTTTCGTTTGACTGTAACCTTGTAAACGCACACACTTGCTCATTCAAAAGCAGAAATCAGAAAAATGCATAAACTCTGCACAGCTTTTAACATGAGAATAAAATCATTACTCAGTTAATAAAATTGATTAGTTCACTGCAACATCTAAAATGGTTTGAACTAAGACACTTTGATTATCAACATTTGTAAGATAGTAATGATAATAAAAAGAGAGTGTTCTTTTCACTTGAATCTTCAAGAAAGAAAGTCTCAGGATGGGTGAACTTGTATTTATGGAGTCAAATACATGAAATGACAGCTTCTGTCCCACAAGGTTCTAAAGGTCAAGAGTTTTGACCTTAGACTGGGTTTCGACGTAGGCTTAGTCCACTACAGTCCCCCCTTTGGAAATCATCACCTGTCCATGGAGATGAATTCCAACTATGGACTTACGTCGTCGATCGTCTTTGAAGCTTGATGTAATCCAGCAAAGAAACAAGAGTCAAGAGTAATCCAGCAAGGAAAACAAAAGTCAAAAGTAATCCAGCAAGGAAAACAAAAGTCAAGGTAATCCAGCAAGGAAAACAAAAGTCAAGGTAATCCCACAATGTTCTTGGTAATTCCATTGTGTTGATTATAATTCCATATCGTCTCGATAATTCCATTGTAGCAATGCTTTAACCCCTTGGAAACAGAGTCTGTAATCCACTGGAAAAAGTCATATAATCCACAATGGTAAATCCACAACGATTGGAAGTGTTGATTAATCAGCATACAGAGGGGTACCCTTGGATTGAACTGAAGAAGCGGCCACCGGATGAAGAGTGGAGACCAACGTCAGGATTGCAGGTCGCCTCCAGCGAAGGTTGTCTCCAGCGACGTCCAGCCTGTGCCGTTCTGGTTCAATGTGTCATGCAATTATGTGGTTTAAGGTGGGCTTATGAAGGGGATTTTACATAAGGCCTTAAACTATATGCACCTGGTGTGTAAGCTATTATGGTTGAGAACAGCTACGACTACCAGTTAAGGGGTGGAGCATGCTGAAAAGGGGTAACTACAGGGGTTTAAGCCTATAGAAAAGGGTTCCAAACTACTTTTCCATTTCTAACTTGGGTTAAGTTAGCTTTACATGGCAAAATATAGTTTGGTTCAAATGTCTGTTGTCTTTTAGACGAACGACTTGAGATTGGGTGTTTGGTTTCCCCATAAATGTTTTGGAAGTCTATGGCGAGACTTATCAAAAAGAATTAGCTATCCCCCCGAATAGAATTGTTCGAGTAGGTTCGGCTTAAGCGATGTGAGACCAATGTAGATTATGGTACTTAAAGTAGCAATAATATACATTGACTCCGCAAAGATTGCAATTTAATGAATGAACTGCA